AAAATGAATAAATAATTTAAAAATTTAAAGAATAAAATATCATAAATATTATTTAAATAAATTATTAAAAATATAAAATATAAAATAAAATTATAATTACAACTGTACCAGTACCCTCCCAAATAATATAAGTACCGTAGAATTTCTATTAATTTTAATCATTAGTCATGTACCTTACTTTTGAGCTGAATGTCAATGGATAACATGTACATCCATAGGGTCCAAGAGCATCTCATGATAAAACTTATTTTTATTCTTAATTTCTTTTATCTCTCTTAATGCCACTTAGAATTTAAGAATTTCATTTATTTTTGTTCAATAAAAGAGTTTAACTTGAGTTTTTATTTACTTTATATATATATATGTAGGTTTTACAATAAATCTCACATATTTTTGTTTTTATTTAAAACAGTTAAGTGACAATAATAATGTTTTTTTATTGACAAGAATCGGTTCTTACACCAATATCACCTATGTCAGCAAGTTTTAGCTGTAAAATTTACAAAAATCAATTCCTATATCTACAAACACAATTAAAAAGAGTATCGTTAGAGATGACCCATGAAAGTTGTAATATGTTCCTTGTTGAAAACCAGAGAACATGGGTTGTGATTCTCTATCACTGGAGTTGGTAATCTTTTGGAGCCTATCTTGCCAAGGTGGCCCTAGAATGTGGAGGGGCAAATTACTTAGGATTATCATTAATTTAAACAAGGGTTCTCTCCTTTGTTTTGTAATAAATTCTTTTGTTTATCCAAAACACAAAATAAATCATTTATACTTTATATGAAATGAGTTTCAGACTTCAGTAGCTATATATTGGTGATCACTAGTGAGATTTCATAATAAATTGATGGAGAATAGTGTTATTGCAATTTTGTCTTCAACTATTGCGTATTATGTTTCAAATAATGCTTTGTATCTGATTACTTAAGGTATTTGATATTTTAATTTATACGATGCTGTATTATTGAAAGCTTAATGTGCAAAATAATGAAGGTGGTGTTAGCCTTAATAACTATTTAAGAGTCTGTTTAGATATTAATGAAAATCACTTTTAAAAGTTTTAATTATAATTAAAAATAAAAAAAAATAATTTTTAATAAAAAAATTTAGAAACGTTTTTATTAACTTATATTTAAATGATAAGACAAAAGTCTCCACTCCCGAAAGGAAAAGAATTGAAAATAAATGAAACAAGAAAACTAAGGGATTACTTTTGTTCTTGATCACTGATAGGTTCTTCAACTCCCTTGGCAGCATCAGAACATTAGCCAGTTTCTTATGGCCTTCTAGTATGGAACGCTTTTTATTTAAGATTCTTAGTAATATCATGATTCTTTAGATATGATGCCTGCCACAAAGAATTCATTGCATTCATTATGATTTTCAACTGGGGAAATTCTATAATTTTGTATGAATTGATAGTTGGTATACACCTGCATGAATACAAATATTCTATAAAAAAAATAAAATAAAATAAAACTAGAATATATACTAAATAGGAAAGAGACAAAAATATAAATCATTTGATTTTCTTCTTTAATTTTAACAAAAATTGATATAAACATATAAAATATTATAAAATTATACTTCAATGGTTAAATCGATAAAATTTACATCTAATATATATTTTTAAATAATATAATAATTGATAAACCCTATTAAATATGTAAATATTATGCAGATGTTTAATTTGGTTATATAAATTTTATGCTTGCTTATTTAAATCTAACACAAGTGTGTCAGTTGCAAATTTGTTTCAAGAAATTCCAAAGATGTCCTCTTAATCCTGGGGTTACTAATGTTAGCTATATTTAACTTCTGTGGTAAAATTTCTAAAGGTGGCGTTTACTATAGCAAAAGCAAAACAAATTAATTGGTGTCTGAATGTCTAAATTACTCGCGTCTTTTAAAAGAAAAATATGTAATTTGTTTTATATATATTACAATAATAAACTTATTTATACTTAATAATTAATATTTTAAATCAAACATATAAAATACTTTTATAAATATCTGTTAATTTGAATTAATAAAATATAATATTAAATAATTTTTAAATTTTTTAAAACTTTGTAAATTTGATTTATGTATTTAAAATTTTTAATTTAATTGTTGGATCTTGATTTTAAATATGAGTTATTAAGTAGAGTAAGTTTAAGCAGACTTGCTCCTCTTTATATAGAAGGGATCAAATTATTTTAAGAATAACTCTTGGTAAAGTTATTTTATTCAATAATTCACAATGTATATTAAATTTCAATAATTTAACGTTAAATTAAAATTTTTAATGCATATAGAGACGAATCTACTAATGTTATAGTGGAGGCAAGTACCCATACAACCATTTAATACACACATATTAATTTTATCCAAAAAAAAAATTTGAAAAATAAAATTATATTCTAATAAAATAAATATATGTGTTTAAATTATCGTATGTATAAAATATAAATTTAGAGGAGATATTCATTTATTTGATGTTTGTTAAACTTTTAACAGAAATTAATTCTCATATATGATAAAGAATACTTCTTAATAATGAATTAATTTTTTTAGAAAGTTTAATTATAATATATAAATATATAAGAGGTTATAATTACACTGGTATAATTTTTACTAAGTATTACACCACTCAATAACTTTATATTAAATGTGAATTTTGTAAATCCAACCGTTAGATTAAAAATATTATATTTTATAATTTTGCAAATTTTGTTTTCTTTTTGGTATTTCACAAAAAAAAAGGTTGGTGTAAAAAAAACATGACATAAAAAAGTGATTTTTCAAATTACTACAAAATTAAAAATAAATTATAAATAGTGTATAAAATGAAAATTTTATCCAATTATAAATTATCATGTATGAAAAAGTTATAAAATATAAGTTTTTATCTAATTCATTCTTACCAAATCAATTTATAAAATATTTATTATTTTTCATTATATATATTATTATAGTGACCTTATTTCACACACACCTTTATTAAAGATCAAACATTTATAAATTATCTAATAACGAGTGATATGTAAGTCAACAACAATTAATAATTTTTAAAATATAAATTATGATTTACTTTAATATATATTAAAAATTATTCCTCACTTATATATATTATATCTTATTTCTACTAAAAGTGGAAACTCTTAAAAATAAATGAACTTAAAAATAATTAGAATTAGAATTCGTAATTTTTTTGGTAATTGATTTTACACACATAAAAATTAAACTATTATTATTTTTTAATTATATATATAGAGAGAGAGAGGAGAGAGAGAGGCTTTAGGAATGTGAGGATTATCATAAAAAGTGAACGTAAATCATTGGTGAATGGGGTTGGCAGTGGAAGTCCTATAGAGTAGACCACACCACCAATCTGAGTCAATATTCATCAAAATGGGTACAAGAGATGATCATGATGATGATATTGACACTGATGATGATTATGACGATGACCAAGAGTTAGAGTTTGAAGATGAAGAATCAGCAAAGACAGAGAAATGGAAAGAACATTACTCATCAAGGCAAAGGATTCTCTTTGTTGGAGAGGGTGACTTTTCATTCTCTCTTTCTTTGGCAAAGGCTTTTGGTTCTGCCCACAACCTCGTTGCCACTTCTCTTGACTCCTACGGTCTGCCCCATCCAATCAAGTTTCCATTCTTCCCTCTCTTGTTCAGCATGGTCATGGAAAGATTCAAACTTGGACCCTTTTCATGGTCTTTTGTTTTGTTTTGGCAGATAACATTGGGAAGAAGTACAGTAATGGATTGAATAATGTGATGGAACTTGAAGAAAGAGGCTGCCTTGTCCTTCACGGTGTTGATGCAAAGGAAATGAGTCAGCATTTTTTTCTCAAGACTCAGAGGTTCGATCGTATTGTCTATAACTTCCCTCATGTTGGTTTTCTATACCCGGAGAATAGCCACTGCCAGATCCAGTTATGTTTCCCTCCCGAATTCCCTTTTTTTTTTTATTAATCTCTTATTTGGTTGCCTTTTCTTTTCCTTTTATAATTGATCTTGCTTTACTTTTTTCTTTTTTACTTATTATACTTTGTTAGTGATCATTCCTTCTACTTGAAGGCTTGAATGAGGTCAAATAATTGGGTTTGTTCATCAATAATTTAATTCTGACTGTAAGCAGCATAGTTTTTCTTTTGTCATCATGGTATTAAATTACTGCTAAAAGACACAAAAGTTTACCAGAGTCAACTAGTTCTAATTGCGAGCAACTTCTAGCTCTAGAGTTGTTTTGGAAGTTGCCTCTGAGTCAGGCTAGTAGTCACAGTTATCCCCAAGACTACACTTGAAAGAAAAAGATAATCTGTATTTTTAACTGATGCTTAAAAGTAGAATACCAAGTCCCTTCTTATATAAGAGTTAAGAAGTGAATCAGAGAGTTAGTTCTTTACTTCCGTAAATATTGGAAGTTACATTTATTTTACAATTATTAACATATACCCTATTTCAAAGTCTTCTTACCTAGGAATTAAGAACTCATCCAACAGTTACACTTTTATTGCACTCTGTAATTTGAATATCTAAATCTTATATACTTCTAAATTAAGGCAAATGTGTATAGCAACACAAACTTTGGACAAGGCTCCTCTAAAGTAAGCAAGTAAGGAGGATATCCACTCTTAAACTTTCCGTAAGTTAAGATGACAAAATTTAGTAGGCAGAAAGTGGGAAGGTGGATAACTTGAAATAAAAGGTAATTTGCACTTGTTTCAACAAAATATATATGATGAAAAATAATTAATTTTCACTTTGAACAGTAGCTTTTGTTGAAATTCATGTTCACTTTATCTATTGTACCTGTATAGACGGCGGCTACTCAACCAACTGAACCTTGGATTTCCCTTTCAACAATGAATTTTTGGATTTTGGAACTGATATTTAACCTTGATCATCATGTAGTTGTGTTTAATTTTGATACATTTAAGATGACGAATGAGAATTTAGTGATGCATGCATTCTTGTATATTGAGCCAGTGTGTGGTTACTGCAGATTGAACAAAAGGTTGCTGAAGGGTTTTTTAGCAAATGCCAAAGCTCTAGTAAAGAAAGGTGGGGAGATTCATGTAACACACAAAGAGGGTGATCCATACAACAAATGGGATCTGGTAAAGAAGGCAGAAAAGATAGGACTGGCCTTGCAACAAGTTGTGCCATTCTTCAAAGATAACTATCCTGGTTATGACAACAAGAGAGCCCATGGAAAATTATCTGATGCATCTTTCCTTGTTGGAGAAGCTAGTACTTACAAGTTCAAGCTCCAAACATCTAACATCTGTAATAACTGATAGGAATTCTAAGTGTTGAGTTTGTTTGGAAGATAAAAAAACTTTAATGTATCTAAACAAGGCAACACGATGCCAATATTGGATTTGCATCTTTATGTGGGGATGGCAATGTTCTGTAAATGTGGATGGTTGGAGCTTAGTCTGTTATTTTTCTAGGGTTTGTTTTGCTTTAGTTCTTTGTTGCAAACTTGTGCTCAACTTCACTGACAATGGTCTTGATTAGGCTGTAGCATTTATTTAATTCATGAATGCTGGTAGGAAAATAACATTTATGTTTGGATTAGTGAAAGAGGGTGGAATGGAGGGGAAATGGAATTTAGTGGTATTGTGTTCCATTGTTTGGATTGAAAAAAATGAGGATGAAATCTAATGGAAACTAGTAGAATCTATTTATTGTTTCTGACAACGGAATGAAAAAGTTTTATTATATTACCTTCCATTCTATCTCTCTTCATCAATCTAAAATGGACGGGGAGTCTTATTAAATCTAAAATTTAATCCAATACTCTTGTTAAAGAAGAAATATAAAGAAATTTGGAGATGGTGATTTTTTTAGAATGATTTGAGAGGAGAATAAAAAAAAACCTAAGCATGAATTTTTTATTTTTATTTTTGCTTATAAGTTTTTGTGAGGAGATTAATTGTGTATTTGTTTATATGTCTTTATCCATGTTTTTCTATATTTTCACGTCAAAAAAGAAAGATTTGATGGAGAATCAAACTGGAGTAGCTTACGCAAATACAAACACGCCCTAATTCATTTTCCGCATAACTGCATTTCATTTCAAATTGAAGCTATTGCTGGTTACTCCAAGATCTTAACTTTTAAACCAGACATAGGGATTTTTAAATTCCATCTTAAGTTTATCTTTCAACAATATGCTCATATTGAAATTTATTTACTTACTTAAAATGGTTGGCAAATTTTGCTACTTTGCATGAAGAATGGCAAGGCCAGTTGAAAATAATAGGGCTACTGCTTAAGACAATGAAAGGTCGCCATTGGTTACTTATCTCGGATAATGAATAAGGATCATGTGTTGTGCCCCACAAAGCCCAATCTAAAATATTAAGGTCGGTGTGAGACAGAGAGTTGAGTTACAAGTTCATTAGCTGTCATGTCAGAGAGGTTGTGTCTGTGTTGTTCATATCAAAGTTATCCTTTTGCTGATAACACAATTTTCACCATCATACCGCTTGGTCTCTTTTGAAACGGTTCGATGGAGGAGGAAAATCATAGAAATAGTTGAGAATGAAATGTATTTGATTTTATAAGGACATCATTGTATGTAATACTATATATCAAGTCAATTTAGATAATTTTTTTGAGTCTAACAGCTATGCATCGACTATGTCCTCATTCCGACCTCAAATTTATTGATTTCATTAGAATTATTGTCATTAGACCATAGTTTTGTTTTTTTTAAAAAACAACTTAGTGGATTAAAAAAAGATAATGTTTATAAACTAATATTGATCTTGACTCTGTAGGGATATTAGACATTTTAACCTATCAAAATAGTAATTTGCAACTAAATAACAATGTAAAATTATTTTGTATTGTAATGAATAGCTTATTTTTTCAGACTTCTCTATCACTATAAAAGAAAAAGAAATAAAAAGAATTAACTAGGTAAAATGAATCATATTATACACAAAAACATACAGCTTATAGAGTGTGAGATGAGAGAACATAAGAATTGAAATGTATTGTAAGTTGATATTAATTTATGAGATTTTTCCTTCATTTTAATTCTTTTATGAAGAAGCTTATCTAAATATATTCATATATTGATTGTAAAATATACAAGCTTTTAGCTTATGCAAAAACAGGGGGCCAGCGCCAATAGAAATGCTTGATAATGGAAGAAAGAAAGGATTGTAACACTATATTAGCCATGTCTATAGTATACACTGAATAAGCCATGCAAATACAAAGTCTGAATCAGCATTGAAGGTTTTTGAGCTAGCAAGTTGTATTGAAATACGGGGATAGTCAAACTTGGCAAGCATAAGAGATGGGGACTAGTGTATGTAACAGACAAATAGTGCCCACATCCAAGTAAGAAACATGCATCACTAGTTAAATATCAAGAGACAAGTTGTAGAATCCTATCCGTTTTGCTTAAGTACTGTCCAAAAGTGAACTTGCTATAAATAGGTAACCATAGATTGTGGAATATATAGGCAAGGTAGAAAAAGAAAAAAATAAAACTCAAAAGATGGTGAGAAAAGCAGATTTGATCATTGCTGTTTCATGGCTCTTACTTGTGGCATTCATAGTCGTTTCTGCTTATCCAGACAACACAAAGGTTCACCCCACAACTTCTAAGCATATGGTTTATTATCCTCAAGGTAGAGTCAATATGTACTTATGCTTTAGCTCTCATTCTTATAACCAATATTATAGTACCATCCAAGATTCAAATAAGCTAGAAGTAACTGTAATGACATTTTCCTGTGAAGGTTGTAGGTGCTGCTGGTTCATATGGAAGCCAATGATACAATGTGGGAAAGTATGTTGTGGAGATGGATGTTGCTCTTAAGTATCCTATAAGTTCTACAGTCCTATATATGTTTCTCTTCACCACCCAGATGCATAATAATGTAATGCTAAACAATTATCCAGGAACCCAAAAAATTAAATTGTGCCATGTCTAGAAGTTTGAAGTGTTATTGATATATAAGTTAATGTAATCAAAGTTTTTCTATGAATATGACTATATCCCCTAGAAATTTCAATTCAAAAATCACTTGCAGATCCCTCCATTCCATCAATCATCCAAGGAATTTTCTAATGTTCTTATGATCCCTTCCTATGCGTTATAGAATTGTTTCATGCAACAATATTGACTCTAGTACACTACTTTTAAACTGCAATAAGATGAATAAAAGTTAGAAATTGCGTATAGTGAAAAAGTAGTTCATCCATCCCTATATGAAATGAAAGTATCCTCTAAACTAAACAATATTTAAAAAAATTTAAATATATTTTTAATTCTTTAAATTTAAAATAAATTTATTTTTAAGTTCTCAAATTTAAAATTAATATTTTTTATTCCTGTAAATTCAAAAATTCTTGTTTTATCCCTTATACTCAAATTTTATCAAACAATTTATCAAATACTGTTAGATAAAATCTATCTACTAATGCCCTATTAACAAAAATATCACATTTAATCCAAGTAATACTACATAACTATTTTAATTTATTACTTTTAGATGTTATTGATAACCTGAAAAATTAAAACAAAATTTTTAAAAAGTATGAAAATTAAAAACAATATTTTTAAATGAGACATAAAAAAATTGTCCTAAATTTAAAGAACTAAAAACATTTAAATTTATTTAAAATTAATAATAGATAGAAACTAAATTTCAATAAGATATGAATTCAGTGGTTCTGCTAGAAATGCAATCTCTAATGCATCCTCCTCTCCTCGCATTGAGAGGTGAGTTAAAAAATTATATTCTGATTCATTCAATTAATTAAATAGGCATCACCCGAACAAATATAAAATAAATATGTTTAATAATCAATACACAGTGATAGTGTTTGTAATCTCTCTTATATGATACAATGACTTCATCATATGCTGGGGTACGAACCATGAATCTTTTGAATATTTCTTAGGCTAAATAGTATATCTGCTATTCTAGTTCTAACAGTCTCAGAAGAGGGGACCATGAAAAACCCACTTCTGAAACCTATATCACATTGAAAGCCAAAAAGTCCCATGTAAAATCATAACTAACACTAGAATCCACCACTGGTATGTTGTTTGAGATGTGGATGAATCTGAGCCTTTATCTGTAACCCCTACAAGAAAACGACAATCGCCAACCGAAGGATCTAGGAAAGTAACCATACCAAGACCATCAAAATCGCAGCTTTGCGAATCTTGCATTTGTAGCTGATAATAGCTGTTAAAAGCATATGATATGTTACCCTTCTCACCAATTTCATTACATGAGCCTCCATAATTAAGAGTAGTGCAGTCTGCAACACTACAGGCTAGTTTCATATGGTTTACTACATTGGTCAAATCACTTGAGGGGTTTGCCACACACCATCTAGATGGAAGATACTCAACATTCCTTGCATTTTTCAACTCCTTGTTTCCAAGTAAAAGGTTTAATGGATACTTAGCCTGTCCATCAAAAGAGAATATCCCCCAGTGTCTTTCAAAGTTTCCAGGAAGCGTGCTCTTAGCTCCTTCGTCAAGAAGACTGAAAATATAAACATCCATTGGTGGAGCATTTGGCCTCAAAGGGGTCCCTTTGTTACTTGCAATGTGATTGATAAGGCCTTGATTGAAAACCTTAGCAGCAGTGATATTTGCACCAACGGCTCCATCTGAGGGCCAACCAATTTCGCCAATAACTATAGGCATCTGACCATATCCAAGTTTAACAAGGGCTGCAACTAAAGTGTCATAGTTTCCATCAAATGCATTGGTGTAAACATTGGAACCATCTTGGACAGCATGAGTAGTCCCCTCGAAGAATGCGTACTCTTGGGGAAAATCTCCATTGTTATAGAGGCTAAGAAAGGGGTAGATGTTAACAACAAATGGGGAACCATTTGAGTTGAGGAACTGAACCAGCTGAGTCATGATTTGGGTCAGTTCCGGCCGGAATGCCCCTTGGGAGGGAAGTGCTGAGGACTGATAGGCATCTGCATTGCAAGGGACAACTAGTTTTATATAACCACCAAGATTTGCTTTGACTAAAGACTGTTGTATATTGAGTATTGCAGGCATGACCAAGTTCTCAAATTGACCATTATAACTTGAAAGAAAGGGCTCATTTCCAACAGCAACAAACCTGTAATACAATGTTGAAAGACTAGTAAAAATCTATGTATTGGCAAGGAGTCAATGGCCAAAGAAAAGTAGTAATAAACATACACTTACAACCTGATTGAATACGAGTTTAAAAGAGCTTTTAGGAGCTTTTCTACTAGAAAAACTCTTTATTTCCAAAATAGAAAGCTTTCAAAAACTCTCCTAAACTTCTGTCCAAACATGCTCTTACTTCCTTTTCCAAATAATTTTTCACCCAATTTTCTTCCTCCACCCTTCTTCCCTTTTTATCACATCACTTATCACATCTACTACTTCCTCTCTTTACCTTTTTTCTTTGTAACTTTTTTCCTTGCACCCCATTCACTCCAAAATGGGGTGTATATTACTACCCTCCAATGGGACAAAATAATTACTGCAAAAATCAACGATCTTTCTATACATGATAATATCCTTTAGAAGACAGTATAAAAAATCTACATAGCAACTTAAATTCTTATTTTCACAAAAGAAAAAAAAAAATCAAGGGTGAACATATATTATACTTAATACAGACCCTATTCCTTTGCAACATACAATAGTATATATAAAACATTCCTTATTAATATTTGTTTATCAAAATAAAATATTGGGTCTTTGCCATTTAAAAATCACCACTTGAAACTTGAAAGCAAATCCAAGACATCCTCAAAACAAGTTGAGATTTTGAAAAATGAAATGAGAAGATAGGAACCTGATATCAGCACCCCCTCTGCCCACATAGGCAGAGACATTCTGGCGGACCCACAAATCAGCAGCAGCAGTGGAGGAGCTCAAGAGGGGCAGCATCTCATTGGGGATCCCAACCATTACCTGAATGCCACTCCCCATGAGAGCCCTCAGCACATCAGAGTCTGCCTCAAAAAGCTTCACTTTTGAGATCTTGTTCTCTCTCAGCAGATCAACCACTGTGGATGGCTTCAGCCTGTGGGAGGATATGGTACCCCAGTTCACCCCTATGCCTGATTTCACCATTGGCACCAAACCACAACACACAAGCCACAGGAAAAGGACACCACTGCTGAATCTTAGTTCCAACATGTGCTGCCACTCAAAATGCTGATCTCAAAGTGAGACACTTGAAGAAACAAGACAAGACAAGAGGTGTGTGAATGAATTAGTGTTGCATTAAGGTTGTTGTTGTTGATCCTAAACTTGTAAAGCTCAAGATAGAGTGCAGTTAGTGCTGCTGTTAACAGCTCCAGCCTCCAAGGTTATTATTAAGCAGGGTGGTTGTGTATTTACCTTAATGTCCTCACTTTCTGATTGTTTTTTCTTTCATGTCGGCATCACCCAGAGATTTGGCTCCTTAACTTTTTGAGAGATAAAAATATGAGGAAGCCGAAATTTTATCCAAATAATTAAAAAATTATTATTTTTTAATAAATTTATTATATAAAAAAATTATTTTATAATAAATTTATAAAAAAATAAATTTTTTTAATTATTCGGACGAAATTTCGACTTTTATTTTCGGACGATACAGCATTTTCCTAAAAATATTAATTCAAAAATAGTCATGAATCACTCGCCTCAGTTTAGTTCAGTGGCATTCAGCAAAAAAAGAAGAAGAAAAAAGTTCGGTGAAATTAGAATAATATACGCATTATTTTAAGAGAGAAAAAAATGCTATGTTAAGATAATATATAAAACACTTTTACTGTGATGTAACTATAAATAATTATATACAATTAATTTATTAATTTTATAATAATTACTTTTAAAAGTTATGCAGACAATAATTTTATTCAGTTAATAGTCTAAAAGTTTTTACTCTTATTATAATCTTTATTTTTTAAAAATTAAGAATTAACGTAACCATTGTTTAATAATATCAGAGATTAAAATAAACATAATTCGATAATTTCATGGGTTGAAGTGATATTTTTATGGTTAAAATCTTTATTTGATCTTTTATAATATTTTTTTTATTTTAATTTAGTCTTATTTTAATTTTTTGTTTCAATTTGGTCTCCAATAATTTAAATTATTGTAATTTGGGATTTCCATCTAAATGATTTAAACGGAGTTAATTGTTGGTCACGTGGATGTCAGGTGGATGTCATGTGGATGCATAAGTGGACGCCAAATTTCATGAATATACCTGGAATCAGAACGGCCCGTTCAACATGCACATGATGTGTTAATTTTTTAATTGAGACGGGCCGTTCTTAAACCAGAACGGGCCATTCCGGTGTTAGCACAGGTCGTTCTGGATTCAGAACGTTCCGTTCCAGATGCCAATTTATACACCAATAGTGTAACCAGAACGGGCCGTTCTGGTTCCAGGTGTATTCGAGAAATTTTGCACCCATCTGCGTGACATCTACGTGACATCCACCTGTCATCCGCATGACTAACAGTTAATTCCGTTTAAATCATTTGGATGGAAGTACCAAATTATAATAATTTAAATTATTAAGGACTAAATTAAAATAAAAAATTAAAGTAGGACTAAATTAAAACAAAAAAATATTATAAGAGACCAAATAAGAATTTTCACCTATTTTTATCACATGAAAGAATAAATTCCCTGATATTTGTAATTCCTTATACTAATTAAGTGCATTACTCAACTGGCAATGAAATTGAAATTTTGTTTCTTTATATTATATTATATCATTTCAATCTTTTATCACAATTCAAACATAACTTGAGGTTTAAAACCTAATTGCAATTTTTTCCCGTAAAATTTTATAATCTCACAAAAAAATTCTTCTTTCAAATTTGGCTCCTAGTTTAAAAAAAAAAACAAAAAAAAATTGCGAACTATATTCTAACGTAAAAAAATATTATCACAATTAAGATATTTTTGTGACAATTTTCTTTAAATTGCTACAATTAAGAAAACTGAGCCTTGTTTTAAAAAAAAAAATTGAAGGCCAAAACTTATATATTCTCTGGAATAAAATTTGTGACATTGTGAGATTTTTTAGGACAAAAAGTTTGTTAACTCAAACTTTAAAAGTCTATTTAAAATTAATTAAGCTTGTCATATTTTCAATAAATCTCTGTTAGCTTAATGATTGTAATTTGTAAAGTCTATTTTAAGATTGAGAAATTCATTTGGTATTTTTGAGTTTAATTTTTTATCTTTATTAAATAAGATTTAAATATATTTTTAATTTTTTAAATTTAAGGTAAATATATTTTTAGTATCTTAAATTTAAAATTATTATTTTTAGTTTTATAATTTTAAAAAAAATATTTTAATTCTTTAAATCACTAATAACACATACAAAAATAGTAATAAATTAAGACAATCATACAACATCAACCAAATTTAATATTATGTTTTCACTAATCGAGATACTAGTAAGTAGATTTTGTACGATAATATTTAATAGATTTTTTTTAAAAAAAAATTGGGTATAATAACTAAAATAATATTTTTGAAATTACATTACTAAAAAAATAATTTTAAATTTGAAAAATTAAAAATAAGTATTTTAAATTTAATAGATTAAAAACAAATTTAAGTGTTAAATTGATATCTTATTAAAAAAATACGCTCCACGGGTATTATGTATATAAGAGGATTTTATTTTAAATTAAAATTATGAAATATTTAATTTTCTCACTTTATATACATTTTTATTCTGAAGAATCGAAATGTAACAACATTCACGTGGTAGTATATATTTTTCATGAGAGAAATTTTATTAACAATACGACACATATTTTTTTTTACGAGAACATGGTTTCCCGTAAAAGTTGGACACAAAAAGAGAAAAAGGTAAAGTGTTTGTTCGAACAGGGATTAGCAAAAATTGCAGTGGATGTGAGATTGTGACACCCCAACTAGGGATGCTAAAAGCAGGGACATAATTGTAAGTTCACATGTGAAATCGATGACCATAGTCAAAACATGCAGTTAATTGTATATAAATATATATATATATATATAATATAAATAAATAAATAAAAACAAATAGAGACCTCATGGTGCTTCGAGTACACGATAACGTTGGTTTCTTGTCATTCTACGTCAAACTTTTTCCTGGGACAAACAGAAAATAAAAAGAAAATTACGATAAGGTTCCGCAGGTACAGAGTTCGAATTCAAATACTTAAGAGCAATGCTTCATCTTCCTTCCCAAAACTATTTCCGAATAATCTCATTCTAGCACTAATAAAAGTACCTGTGTGATCCCATATACAATCAACTATTACATATTTGACTCAAAATATGAACCGAATATGTGAAAGGGAGATATTTTTTATCTCCCTTATTTAATGTGATCGCATTCACATTGATCAATATCTTGCACAGTCAACGAGTCCTTTAATCATATTATACTTTACAGTTCTTACTTCCCTTCTACCAACCAAATTTTCATTGTAACACATTGTGAAAAATTCGAGACCACTTTGCAAGCTTTTTGAAGAATTGCAAAAGTAACCATGTCGTTTCCCAAGGCCAGGGTAAACACAGATTCTGATATTCTCAACCAACACAAAAAAGGGCCAAAAAAGAGAGAAGAAAAAAAAGTATCTGCTACCATTTCAGAGTTCTTTAATAAAAGTCAGCATGGCAAAGCAAGATAATGAAAAATTCTTCATTCAAAAATTTAGCAAATGCCATGGATGATTCCTCTTCAGAGACACCTTATCCTCCCTCTGATCTTTATAGCTTTGTTACTACCACTTTGAGGGAATCCAAACAACAATTGGGCTGGTTGGTATGGAATATAGAATATAGAAAGCTTATTTAACACTTAATGTTGAGTAGCTCTGTCTGCCACCAAAAAAGAGTGAGGGTAAAGGCTTATTGGCACATGCTTATCACTTCCTAGCTGCTTTTGCATCAACATTGCACCTAGGACTCTGCAATTTAATTTCCATAGATTCAATAATCATGCAGATTTCTATGGCCCCAGAATCCAATCACTACTTTACTCACTCTATCTTCTTTAGGTAATAATTACCAGAAAGACGGTTGCATTTGCATATCATTCCAACAACCATATTCTTAAATTTCCCAGGGGAATCATTGCCTACTAATTAATCACAATAATGGACAGGATAACACTGATTTAAAATGTAAGAAATCTTATCTTAGTCCATTAAAAATTTAAAATCATATTTCAGGGCCTAAGTTCATTCACTCAGAAACTTTTTTGACAGTTAGTTCATGACCAAGAATCAGAATATTTACAACCAACTAGTCTAGAGTGAGATTTCAGATTTATATAACACATTCTTCTGCACAAAAATAGGCAGGAATGTACCTATCCCCGCTTCAACCCCAAATTGATCTTGCTCAAGGGAACATATTAGAGGTGTTACTATAAAATGAATCATTTTATATGTTTCCATTTAATATACTTGATCTTTTGCAGTAGTTGCATCTTGAAGTAAAATACTTTTGAAAGAAAAGTAGCTGCATACACCTTTACAACTCTTTCTTGTACAAGGATTGTGGTCTGCAATGATTGCATGCATCAAACTGCATCCGTCTGCTGCAACATAGCCAATGCATGCATGATTCTGTGTGTTTTTGGTACAGACTACACAGTATATCGTTTATGGAAGACAATTCACTTGAGACGAGTAGAACTCTGCAAAACTCTCGTTAAATGTTTAATGCAGTTGCATATTAAAGACTCAAACTTAAGATCATCATATTACTTCTTAAGTTGAATAATTTTGTGTTGCTTTAATTATTCTAGTGCTACTGTTAAAAATAATATATTTATTAGGAGAGTAGGATTATTTTAATAAAATTATATAAAAGATAATAATATATTTATTATTATTCTTTATATATATATATGTATAAAAACCTTAAAATACGGTGATCCTGGAATTGAAAGGATAATTCTATGTGTGGTCAAAGAATTTTATCAGTTGGAAACAATCATGCTCTGCAATAGGCTAAATTTAGCCATGTTTCAGGATTGATTTGTCAAACCTAATTATGAATTAATGGCAAGAAATTGAAACACAAAAGTTGTGTGTTTGATGGGTTTTCAGTGCAATGGAGATAAGATAAGCTTCCCCTTTGGAGGCTACATCAGAATTCATAAAGCTCTGTCACCATGATGTGATTGGGATGTAGACATGCAGCATAGGCTGAAATTTGGAATTTGAAACGCATAAAAGGGAAACTGAAAGGACTCATTAGCAGCTGGTTTTGAAAAATAAGATCATCATGTAAGGAAATTAATAGGGTCCACTAGTGTCATTTCAGAAAATGTGGTGATGCAAATTTCGGCTACGATATTATTATTTGAAGAAATTAATGGGAAGGGAGAAGAAATTAGTAAAAGAACTCTTTGTGAGTTATGATTGAGGAAACAATACCAAATAGTTTCATATGCACAGGAAAAATAGTGATGATTTTGCACCAAGATTGATTCAATCCAAACTTTTGAAAGGTTTATCCTAAGATGAGCAAATAAAAGGAGAGGAAAGTATTATTATAGCACTTGTTAAGAAGATAAAATAGTTTGCATTAATGCTGCGTTGGAGTTGGACTGATCCATGCTTTATCAGAAGATGATGAAATGACACCACAAAATGAAAAAAGATTATAAGAAGAAAAAAAAAGAGGAAAGGAAATGTTTTCTTTTGTTGACCATTGCTTTTCTTAACTTCATGTGATTCATCATAGACTAACAGCTAGCTAAGCCTGTATTAGGAGGGATTAGTGCTTCATTTCAATATATTCATTGAATTAATAGATATAAAGTTTTGTATCTTATAGGTAAATCTATTAAATATACATAACAGTACGATTGTGAAACCACGATTTGGGATGGCATGGAGGATGTCATGAAAATCAAAACCAGCTGTGATGGACGTGTCAAGGACTCTTCATTATCAATTCCATTGTTTCCACTTCCAACCAGATTTTGGTTGCAGAAATCTAGATATAAAATTGACAACTACCCAAAAAATAAATCTTTTTCAATTTATTTAGAAAAAAGATATTTCTGTAAAAAAAAATGGTAACAGTAATAGGCTAGTAAGATACTCATTCCCCTTACCTATATATAAATAATAAAAAATTATTTATTAATATTAAGAAAGTTCATTAAATATATTTAATTTTTATAATTTTATATAAAATATACGCTACATTTTCAAAAATATCTTTAATCATATTTAATGTTCTCATTTATTATTATATGAGTATTTTTGGATTTAGAATATGAAATAAGATTGATTTAATTAAAATATGTTTATAAAAACTCTCGACATGCATGTACCAATAATTGTAATTATATTTGGAGAGTAACTACTTTAATTTATTATACAATAGGTATTGTTTTTGTATTATTTACATATTTTTATAAGCTTAATTAATATACTATCAATAAATTAAAATTCATGATTTACATAATCTTTATATAATTATTATAAAACTCACAAATTTATCATGTGTGAATTATACATTAAAAAAAATCTTTCGAAAAATGAAATACGTAGACCGTTTGCAATGTGATCAATGACACTTATTTCTGTGTTTGTAATTCACATTTATGAAGATAAAAACTTCACTGATCTGCATGTAGAAGTTAACTAAACTTCCTACCTTCAGAAAAAGAAAAAAGAAAAAAAAAAGTAAAAGAGAAAGAGAAGGAATATAATTATTAAAAGTGCATGCATAAAATCTGGGGCATGATGGTGTTCTTGAATATTTAGTTTTTAGCCTTTAGCCTCTGCTACTGTAAGAAGATCAGTGTATCCCACTTTGCTCCTCATGCAGCTCGTCAATTTTGCTGCATCCACACCATCTCCAATCACCACCACTCGATCTTTGCTTTCTCCCTCTATGCTCACACTACTTACCCCTGCAACCATTACCAAATAATATACATATTTTTGCTTTTAACCAAGGTATATATATGGTATGGTGAAGCTTCACTAACCGCTAGTTCCACAAGCAACCTTCAATGCTTTAGCTCTGCACTTCTTGCAATTCATTTGCACTTTCATCACAATCTTTTGCTGTCATTACAACCACATGCATGCAGTAACTAACAAAATCTATATAAATTATTTCATATACATACATCTACAAAACACAAAACTCTATCTATATTCTATATATATATATATATATATATGTATATGTATTTACCTTCATAATTGCAGAATTAATTCTTGGATACAAGTTTCTCAGAGCTAAGAACCACTCTGTTGAACACAACACACATCCCCTGCCCTCTTTATATGCTTGTTTGATTAGAGAAGTCAAGTCTAGTCAATGAAACAAATTATTACAAACATGTGAATGTGGAAAATGAATAACCTATATACTTCCTTTGCAAGTATTACGAGTACATGTATATCAATCACTTTGTCTCTATCACATAGAGAAACTCTATATATGAATGAGTTGTTCTTCTTGGTGTGATATTGTTGAATATTTATGGTAGCTCTAGAATGTGTACCTAATTAACGCGTAAGAAAAAAAATACTAGGATTAAGGAATAATGTTATTGACAAACTAAGTTTGGTGAGGAAGCTAGCTAACCTATTCATATGTTGAAATATTGATTGAATTATTTGATGGCATGTTTTACCTCAAATATATAAACAACGGACATGTGGTGTAACTAATTATTCATATGTTGAGATGAGCACTACTAATTAATTAATAATATACTCTTTAACACATTTTTCATCTTTTTTATGGATTAAAATTTATTAAAAATTATAAAATTATGAAATATATTCATTAAATAGGATACATGGTCTATCAAGTTTTGTTATTTTTTAATAAATTTTAACTAATAATAAAAATATGTTTAAATCAATGTTTTAAATAGTATGTTTTTTATTTTTTTATTGTGATTACAATTAAAAATTGGCAAAGTGATCATTGTTTTTATTAGATGCGAAAATTTGATTCTTCATTGTAACTAAGAGAAGAGTTTTAGGTTTGGCCCGTGAAATTAGAAACACATTAGACTCACCAACTTAACTACATTTTTTTAACATATTTGTAGTTGTTGAATAAAGCAAAATTTGGTTATATTTATTTAATTAATTTTATTTATAATTTTATAATATTTTGTAAATTTTAATTAAAAATAAAAAATATTAAAAAATATAATAGCGTGTCTCTATCCATCCTCCTTAGAGTAGTTAACGTTGGTGTGCCCACCTAGGTCGAGAATTAATATGCTGTGTTGCTTCTAGTTTCAAAAAGTTCATATGGCCTAACCTTAATTTCGTGCACTTTTTTTACTACTTCCCGAGGTTCACATTATCTCTAAAAGAAAAGAACTGAAAAAGAGGAAAGCCTGCTACAGTTTTTTTTATGAAACAAAAACAAAACTTCTTTTTTATTATATTCATCACTTCTTGTTTCTATTTCCCCCTCCCCCACCCCTTTCTTTCTTCTTCTTAAAGCGTGTATGCAAATACAAGAAATCCTATTTTCTTAAGTAATGTCCTCTTATTTGATATATCTTTTATTATTATTATTATTATTGTTTGATACTCATCATTATATTTTCAACAATTATTTAGAATTCTTTTTTATATCACTTTCACCCTCATTTTTATATATATATTTGTTGAAAGAGAGTTTTTTCTTTTTCACTTTTATATTGCACTCATGATTTCAATTTTTATAAAAGATGTAAAGAAATGTAGGAATTATTTTTAATCATGGTATTAGTATGAAGTATCTATCATCAAAAATAATGACTAATCTTAGGAATCATAAGTGTATGTAAGATAGGTATTTTCATCCTAACATAATTTATTTCATATTTAATATCAGGATTCAAACCTTAAACAACTTGATTAAGAAACACAAGTTATTACTACTTATGTCAATTAATATTGGTAAAACATAAGAAATTTGATACAATATAAATATTTCTTAATTATATACTTGTGTGTGTATATGTGTTTTTTTTTCTTCATGAAAGCAACAGATAGTTAATATACATGTTTTCATTTCAAGTTGTGATCCAAATGCACAATCAAATCATTATATAAGAAGGTGTTTCATGTTTGAAGTAGTTTCACTCATAAGTTCGTTGGATTCATTAGGACCATCACATTTGATGTATTATCTATTTTAATGTTCATTGGACTATCACAATTTTGTCATTGAAAAGGTATTTCAGTGAGTTAAGAAATGAATGTGTTTATAAACTATTTTTAGTTTCAATTTCTAAGCAATGTGAGATTTTTAGGCATATTAAAACAAACTCCTCATTTGAAGCCTTAAGACTAATGGGCAAGAGTGACTTTAGCATTCTTTCTAATGTCAATATTACCATCATAAGTTCATTAACATCGTTAGAATCACTGCATTTGAAATATTACTTAATATCGTTTGTGGGGATCGAATTCACGACCACTTGGTTAAAAGTCACTCTTGCCCCTTAGTCTCAATATGAGGCTGTTTTATAATACATAAAAGTCTCACATCACTTAAGAATTGAGGTTAAGGACAACTTATAAATAATCTCACTCCTTAATCTATTGAAACACTCTTCCAAAAACAAAAAACAAAATTGTGACAGTTCAACAAATAAGTAATATAAAGAAAAATAAAATAAAATATGAAAATAATATAAAAGGTAAGAAAACCAAAAAGTGTTGCAAGGAAAATGCAAACTTTTGTAACAAAATATTATGATCATTCATAGCGGCATGAATGCCACTCCCTAGCTTATTTACAATATCATTATTGAACTCCAAAAATGCTCTCTCCCTCTCTGCCCATTAAGGTTGCATTTAATGCCCACCTAATTAACACAAACCGAACAAGAAATTTGACAAGCTCACACCAAAATGAAAACAGGAAAAGTATGGTTTCTGTCTTGCTCAACATTTATGCCTTCTAATTTGGTTTGTCCTCTGCTAAGCTAATGATATCAGTGTGTCCAACCTTTTTCCTCAAAGAATTGGTTAACTTAACCGCATCTACATCTCCAATCACCACCAACTTGTCCTTCTCTTCTCCTTCTAACCCCACAAAACTCACACCTGCATGCATCACAAGTAATTAACAATCAACTTCATTACCATTTTTCAAGTTTATGCATGAAATTAGAAAGATTAATTAAGTAGTATTATATTTTTGTGTGACGAACCGTTTGCTGAAGCAACAATCTTGAGTGCCTTGGTGCGGCTCTTCTGGCTACTCATGTTCACCTTCATCACAATCTTTTGCTGCTAACACAACCAAATATTAATCATCAACAATATGATTCATTGTTGAAAATAATAACAAAAAAATAAAAAAGAAAAAAAGCATTATAGCATATGATATGATTGCATTTGATAAGTGATATATGTATACATACCTTCATGCTTAATTTCAAAGGTGGTTAGAGGTAACCGCGGAAGAAAATGAAGTTGGGTTGAGATTTTATATAAAGCTAAATCAAAAGTGTTGTTAACAATTAAAGGTGAAAACGAAGTCCAAGTCAAGTAATGGATGAAATTGAAAAAGAAAGAAAAAAAATGCATATTGACCTAGCTATAAGTTTGTTTCGTAATAAATAGTAGTACTTTAATTATTGAATGAATGTGTATGAACACGATGAAGCCGTGCTCCAAGTGGCATGGGCCAAACAAGACTTTATGCTAGAAATTTCTTCGTAATTAAAACACGACTACCGTTGACGCTACCGTTCCGTACAAAACTTACAAAAGAAATTTGAAATACATTTATCTATAATTTTAAAAAAAACTTCTTATATATATATATATATAATCCAATTTTTTATAGTAACATTTCTGAAATTTTATATTTTTCATCCAACATTTTACGTTTTTATTCTTTGACCATGCTTTCGGAACAGCAATGATAGGACGCATAAATTAATGAATCGTTCTCTTTTCTTTAGTTAATTTTCATTGTTATATAATGAGTACATCATATTCCTAATTGAATTGGTGCTATTAAAAAATTATCATGTTATCTCATTGTTAATTCATAATTTATTAAAATCGAAACATTTTAAATCTGAAAATTTTTAAAATTATTAAATAAAATAACATACATTATTAAATGATGTGTCTAATATTAAATGTTAGGCAGGTGTAGTAACAAAAGCTGGAATAGCTCAGTTGGTTAGAGCGTGTGGCTGTTAACCACAAGGTCGGAGGTTCAAGCCCTCCTTCTAGCGGTAATCAGTCATTTTTTATTTTAATTATTTTAAACTTTAACTATTTTTATTTTAATTCTAGCTATTTTCATTTTAATTCTTTTAAACTTCAGCTTAAAAGTATAAATAATTTTTTACTGTCCACTCTATGATATATTTTTTTGTTTGGTTTTATTTTAATTCTTTTGAACGTTAGCTTAAAGGTGTAAATATTTTCTTTTTTAGTTTCCATAAATATTTTTTTAGTCTCCACTATATGATATTAACTTTTCACTCCATGGCATTTACATATATATACTTCATTCATCAGGCATTATGCTTGGTTGGTTAATGGTCCTATGACATCATCAAAGTCTACCATGCATGATGCATATGTTTATAGCTATTTTCCTTTTCCATAGGAAAAGAAAACATTGTCTTACCTAAAAGATTGGGGTGATTTTAATTGGCATATATTTTCTACCATGCAGCAATATTATTTATTTTTTAAAGGGTAGTTGTAGACTTCATGATCATACAGAAGTAAACACACCTCATCAGGTGTAATGTAAACACGACAGTTTCCAGTAAATTTCCAGAAGCACTTCAATGTTTAATTTAATAATATATCAATAAATAAATAATTTGGAGGGGGGATGACAAAGTTTAACACAACTATCTTCTCAAGTTTGAATTGCCTACCTCTGAGTCTGAGGTCTTCATTTTTTATATTTTTTTTTATCTTCACTTTATTTTCGGAGAAAAGAGGAGGGGTGAATAGTCCCTTGATTGTTTGTTACATTAATTTCAAATTATTAATTTATGCATGTCATCTAGCTCCTCCACAGTCTAGGGTTCAAATCATTAATAATTTGATATAATTACTACTGGCTTATCTAAATTTTTTTTTTGAAATATAAAAAATTTACAAAAATAGTCATGATTGAATCTAACTTCTCATACTTCTACTTTTCAATTTTCTTTCTCCCAAGCAATCACTAACTTAACTCTAATCGTCCTCCAATTTTAAATTTAACTCATATGTCTAAGATTCTTAATTTTTTTATTATTAATATTGTCCATAAAATGTTTTGAAGTAACTATATTAAAAAAAATTACTTACACACACATAATTTTGTTGTCCTTAATTTGTAATTGAAATAAATACTATGAATTATTTCAAATTTTACTATAAATTTTAAAATCATTACTTTTAATTATTATTGTTTGTGAAATAATTTTAATAACTAAATTAAAAATATAAATAGACTTGTGTGTATATGAATTTTTTACACAAATAATACTATTTTAAAAAAAAATTGTCAAAATAGCAACTGTGCAAATTTATTTTTTCCAACTAGCACCATTTACTATTCACGTTCAGAACGGGCCGTTCTGAAATCAAAATGGACCGTTCCGGATTAAAAAATAACACATGGAAAACAGATCAGAATGGGTCGTTCCAAAATCAAAATTAGCACATAAAAGTGGAACCAAAACGGGCATTCTGCATCCAGAACGGGCTGTTCTGGCCTATAAATAATTTTTTTTTGTTTGATTTTCACTTATCAAATACCAAAACTCAGAGACTACCATCAAGTGATTAAATTTATTGAATATTAACATTATAAATATAACTAAATAAATTTATTAAAATTCATTACAACAATAAAGATCAATGGTGGTGGAAACTGAATTCATGACCAATATTTGGATATGTCTTCCTAGTGTGACCAGCGGTGTGACAATAAGAATAATTTTTTACACGATTATGTTGTTCTCTAATGTCCATCTGTTCTAATTTTGCTAGACTTTGGCCGACCCTTGAAAGTTCTCTTGAGTTCTGGATTTGGCCACAAAGTTGAAAAAAAACGTAACATCCGAGAAAAGTTTGACCCGTTGGGAGATTTACAATAAGGCTAAATAAAATGTGGTATGATTGCGGCAAGTTCCAGAAAGGTATACGAATGACAGTTTGGAGAGCTCTGACATGAAGATTATTGGTCTGCTTACACTTGTCCAACTTTGTGGCCAAATCCAGAACTCAAGCGAACTTTCAAGGGTCGGCCAAAGTCTAGCAGGATTAAAACAGAGATGGACATTAGAGAACAACATAATCAGTTTCTGCCACCATTGATCTTTATTGTTGTATTCAATTTTAATAAATTTATTTAGATATATTTATAATGTTAATATTCAATAAATTTATTTATTTGATGTTAGTTTCTGAGTTTTGGTATTTGATAAGTGAAAATCAAAAAGAAAAAAAATTATTTGTAAGTCAGAATGACCCATTCTGGTTTCACTTTTTATGTGTTAATTTTGATTTTGGAACGGTCCGTTCTGATTTCAGAAAGGCCCGTTTTGAACGTGAACAGTAAATGATGCTAGTTAGGAAAATAAATTTGCACAGTTGCTAATTGGGTAAAAAAAATTTAAAATAGTATTATTTGAGTTAAAAACTCGTGTATATACATAATAATTTATTTTATTGTTATAATAATAATAATACATATTTAATAAATTTAAAAGTATGATAATTTTAAGGTTCTTTAATTTTAATATCGTTACATTTGTTTTTTGAAATAATTTTATCGTTACATGTTTCCTTTAAAAGATGTTAAATATTTTAGTAAATATAGTTTCTAGTTATTAAAGTCATATAAATATGTTATTGGATATTAATTTTACTATAATTATATTTATTTCATTTTGATGGTTTAAGTGATTATTTTTAGGATATTGGTAGTTGTGAATAAACAATTTTACCTGGAACAATTAGAAGAAGAGGGGCATAAAAACAAAAACAAAAAAAGCACTTACGTAAAAATGAAACTTCCTCGAAAAAATTTTAGTGCCATTATTTCTCTCTGATTTCCCAAAAGGATTTGCAACATATTTTGAGGGTCTAGGGGTTTTCATTTTTTTTCTTTCGTCACTTTTTATCTTTGATGCATCACTTTCTTTCTATCCATATTATTTTAGACATATGTATTGTATTGTATTATTCGGTTTATTGTGCTTCTTTTATGTTAGTTTTTGTTTTGTTTATATCTTATTTCTGTGAACATCAAACCGGATAAAGGTGAGTGAAAATGATTAAGTTTTGTGTTTTTCACAAATAAGAGTTCGAAGAATAGGTTGTAGTGCAAGTTTTCTATGATGTCATTGTTTCGATTTCTACTAAAAATGAGAAATTTAATTGTTTTAAAAGTACACAAAAAGTTATAAAAAAAATTGGCTTTGTATATTCTATCAATTTAACTTATTTATAAAATTAGTGATATTACTTTTATTTCACACAATAAATATTAAATGAGTAGCCAATATTATCTTTAATGTCATTTGATTTGTAAAGTTTATGAATAATTATTTGTTATCATGAATTTTACATATAAATTAAAATAAAGTTTTTTTAATAAATAAATTTTTCTTTAAAAATTATTTGAATGTGCAAAAATTAATATCTCTAATTGAATAATAATTTCACCTTTAATGTTATTTGATTGTGAGATTTAATAATTATTCATTTGCTAATTTAAATTCTTGTACAACAATATTTTTTTAATAAAATACATATAAAAAAATGAAAGTTGTCGTTTTTTGATAAAATGTAAAAAATAAGTATATTACAATTGATAACATTAATTAAATAACTCTTTCATTTTAATGTTATTGTAAGGATTAATGATTAATCATTTGTTAGCTTAATTTTTATGCAATTTTTTCTTTTTTAATTAAAAATACAAAAATAAATCAATTTCACATATTAAAAAATTAAAAATAATTTTAGGAGTAATATAAATATTTTGTCAAGTTATATATTTTTGTACAATTAAATAAAGATATTATTCTCTTAACGAACATTGTAGGTTGTTAATATTTTTTTTCCACATAATTGATTTTTGATTTCAATTATGATTTCAATTATGATTTCAAATACCATTGAGTTCAATTATGATTTCAAAGACCTTTTTTCTTTAATTTTTTAATATTTTTTTTAAAATAAAATATTAGTTACAACTTCATAAAAAAAATATTTTTACATTATTCTTGATGTAACCTCATTTACGACGATAATCGGTAGATATACTTTTAAAAATATAAAGTGAAATATTTTTTGTCACTAAGAATTATAGTGACAACAAAAAGTGGGCATGCTACTTCAACTTTCATACACATCACTAGATAGAGAGTGAATTTAAAGACTATTTCATTCGATGTTTTTTCTATAAGATTTCATCAAATATTTTAATATCATTAAATATTAATTTGATAATAATAATAATAACTATAATAGTTACTTGGGTGTTATGAATGAGATAGAACTCTATTGTT